TTTGAAAAATGGAATAAAAGACTAGACAAGTGTATTAGTGTAAGTGGAGAGTACTTTGAAGGGGACTGAAGGTTTGTGCTTAAAATTTGAATAAATAAGTTTAAAAAAAAATAAGTTTGGTTTCTTTTGGGTACCCCTTCATATGTGTGTGTGTGTATATATATATATATATATATATACACATCCCACTTCTGACACCAGTTGTCACGTGTTGGGTGTATAACGCAACAAATAATTTCACGCCGTACTGGATATAGCGAATTTATTCCACATTCGCTCTTACAATCACACAAATTAGAGATTCACAATTACTGCTATCTGCAGTATCACAAATACTAGACTGCAAATGCCAGAATACAACTGACTGGTTGCTGGCTAACTCATTACTCTCCGCTGGCTAGATTGAGAACTCAGAACTGACTGCTGGCTAACTCGGAACTTGTAACCGATGCCTTGAGAACTAACTCGTGAACTCGTAACTCCAGAACTGACTATGAATAGTCTTCGCTGCTCCGTATCTAGCCTCGTTCCGGACAACGCAGAAAACAGCCATGTAATAAGCATCACTGTTGTCTGGCGCCGTGTTCATAGGTGTTACTGGTAACGCTGTCGGGAGTTGTCTCTCGAAACCACTGTTTACCCGCGTTGCATAGCGACCAGTGTGCCGGGACTCGGCTCACTTCGGCTCCGCTCAGCACGTCACCGCCGCCGGGGGGGGGAGTGGTGTCCTGCATAGCACGACACGTCACACTATATATATATATATAAACAGAGTGTCCCAGGAGGAATGTGCCAGACTTTGGGAGGGTTTTCCTTATGTTAAAGTATGTCGATATAACCCAAAACACATATGTCCAAAGTTGAACGGTTACGGAGATAATGGCCAGAGAAAAGTGGGGTCTTCTAGCGGGTCCACGCATGTTACCTGTCAGCTGACAAGTCTTATCGATGTTTGTGCTTGAGTGTGGTGATGACGACTCACACTAGCCGCATACCAGAATGTGCAGTCGGACATGTTACGTCAGCGCTTGCCAGTCATGTGACATGTATAGTGCTTGGAAACCTAAGGACAACTATGACATGGTGTGCGAGTTTCTTTGTAGTTCAACTGAATGGCTTCATGTCACTCACAAGTTCGTTTGATGTTACGTACATTATTAACATTACAGAAACCACATATTCCTGCCAGTTTTAATATGCATTTGGTAATCAACAAGTGTGTAACACCTGTCAAAGTTTCACACTTCTCTGGCCATTACCTCCATAACCGTTCAACTTTGGACACAGGTGTTTTGGGTTATATAGGCATACTTTAACATAAGGAACACCCTCCCAAAGTCTGGCACATTCCTCCTGGGACACCCTGTATATATATTACGAGGATTACATGCCAGCTGGAATGTAGATCTCAGACAGTCTCTGGAGATGGCAAGAAAGGAATTACGCTGTGCAAAGAAGACTTCATGTGTGCTGCAGTTACAGTGAGACTGGTATAGTTACTGTGTTGAAATCCGTTGCCAGGATATGACTAGCGAAGACTGAGGACTCTAGCAAGTGTGTAATAATGAACTGTAAAGTGTCTAGAGCAGTGGTGGTGCTGTATTACTTGTAGTTCCTAGCTGAGTGTATAAGGCAGTGTTCCGCAACCAGTGTGCCGTCACAAGATGAAAGGTGTGACACGAACTTTAACCTATTGTAGGAAATTGTCAAATTTTATTCGTTTTATTTTATCCCAGTTACCATGTTTCATATGCTTGTATTTTATTCTCAGCCACTGCAGTGATTAAATAAGACGATGTTTGTTTATTCTTTATTACATGTTGTGATTTTTTATGTACAGTAATGTTGTATTCTAAGAAATTAAACGTAAATTATTTACTCACAGTTGTTGTTATATCAAAGTTTTCATTATTGATTTATTTTTGTTTTTCTCGCATCTACGCAGCTTCTTTGATATGCTTGCCGCATGTTCTGTGTACGTGCTTTTCCCTAAAACTGCAGGGATTAGCATGGGTTTTCCTGTCTTTTATAACACTCTTTCGGTATTTGGCCGTTTGTTAGAAGTTAGAGCTTCTTCAACTTTATGACTTTCTTCCTGTAACGATGCACCCACCCATTGTTGGACTTCATTTTAAGTTTTCATTACTGATTTATTTTTGTTTTTCTCACATCTACGCAGCTTCTTTAATATGCTTGCCGCATGTTCTGTGTACGTGCTTTTCCCTAAAACTGCAGGGATTAGCATGGGTTTTCCTGTCTTTTATAACGCTGTTTCGGTATTTGGCCGTTTGTTAGAAGTTAGAGCTTCTTCAACTTTATGACTTTCTTCCTGTAACGATGCACCCACCCATTGTTGGACTTCATTTAAAATTATAAATATTTAAAAAATAAGTCGGTATAGTGTCACTTCTACCATTTGAAGAGAAGAGATCCCGTGTTTTACAATTGTTTCAGTTCTATCACAGCTGTGCTTTGAAGTACGTAGTTTGCAAATTTTGGTTGCTAGTTAGAGAATTACAGATGGGTCGTTTGAGATGTCCCTGACTGTATAGCCACTTGCTGATGGCAATAAAGTGGTGATGGACACAATTAAAGAACAGTTAGAAATGCTGCAGCAGAAATTCAATAAGTATTTTGGAGAGTGTACAAGATTTCGACTGGGTTTGTGATCCATTTGTTGTGAATTCAGAACATCTTCTGATTAATATACAAGAGGAACTCGCAGATTTAAAAGCAGACAGAACATTGAAACTAAAGATTCTCGAAGTGCCTTTGGATACGTTTTGGTTAGTAATAAGGAGTGGATACCTGGCTATCTCCGAGATGGAAGTTAATGTGTTATTGCCACTTTCAACTACATATTTGTGTGAACTGGGCTTCTCGACATTAACTGAACTTAAGACATCCATCGATGAAGAAATGAGACATGCGCTGTCAACGATTCCACCACGGATCAGTCGCCTGTGTTCAGCTAAGCAGGCGCAAGTATCACATTGAAGGTATGAGTAGAATTATTGTATTTATTTAATAGTAATAGAAGTGTATTTTCTGCACTCTACAGTGAATTAAAGTTCATTAATTGTTAATAAAGGCACGAGTCAATTTCTGTTTAATGATAATAAAATAACAATATAATAATGTTATAGTAATAAGTTGATCACGTTACATATTTATAATAATTGTGTGATATGTGTTTTTGAGGGGAACAACATTTTGGTGTGCCGCGAGTAGAAAAAGGTTGCACAACACTGGTATAAGGTATCAATAAATCTAATCATCCGATCCAAAACTCATCAATAAGTTACAAACACCCTCAAATACGTGACCATATATTTTATAAACCCTTATATGCCTTTGTATTACTACGTTTCGAAGTACATGCTTGACATAAGATGGTCAAACTCTTCACTGTGACTCTTAAATTTCAATTTCATGCCATTACTTACCAGAAATGGGCCTTTACAATGCCCTTCTTTGTAGAGAGAGTAAAGGAATGTAATCGTCTGGATGGTCTTACCAAGACCCATCTCATCTGAAAGAGACAAATATTTTGATGCAGCAAGTATTGAAAGAATATAAATGCAATTACAACAAATTTCAATTGACCTCAACATTTTATTAAACAGAATAAAAATTTGACAGAAAGGAAAACAGCAAAAACACTGGAGAGTATTATCTTCTGGGATACAACACCATGCAGTCCATTGAAGTCAAGTGACATTTTGGAGGAACATATCGCTTCCACCTTCAGAGTCGAATACACCGAGCAAGATACCAGCTGCTTGTCTTGCTACCCCCCCACGCTGGTATCTTGCTCGGCTCATTCCACCCTGAAGATGGAGGTGATATGTTACTCCGAAATGTCAGTTAACTTTAAACAGACCACAAGGCATTGTATCCCACAAGAAGTACTCTTTATAACCACTGTTGTGAGAACCTCAAATCCTACAGGTGAAAACATTAATTAAATCTTGCATACCTATAGCTGCCTGGCTCAAAGAATGGTCAGACATCACACTGGACACCATTAGATGTGCCACTCTGCTACCAGAAACTTTTGGAAGACACATCTTTAAGTTGGCCATAAATGAGTCATTAAATGACAAAATCATCTACTTTAGCACCTTTGTAGATATAAGGTTATATACTCTAATAACATTTAGCGAGGAAGTATGAATTATGAAGCTCCACATTATGTAATATTTCTCCACATTCGTTTCTTACTTCCTCTCTCACGCAGTCCAAATATTCTAAACACATCAACCTTAGGACTTCTTGTATACAGGCGTTGGTGGGCTGAGTTCTTATCCCTCTTATTAATATTATTTGTCCTCATGAAACTGTGTCTGTTTGGACTAACCACACAGTTACTTCTTGGAATATTTCCCTCAATGCCCCTTGCGTCCTCATCCCTTCATAACCCACTGGTGTGATTTACGAGCAGCCTCTCAATTTCGGCTTGTTCCATGCGAAATGGGGCCATGGTGCATAGTTGAAATTGTGATGTTTTATAAGCGTTACGAATACAAGAGACCACTCGCCATCACTGGCCTACTTCCTGCTAATACGAGACACATGTTGCGTGTGTGCACTCCACGTGGAAAACAGAGTTACATACGGACAAAGTGTATGAATTGCGACGTTGAACTCTGCATTCAGTTACATGCAACATTCAGTTAGATGATGCAGAAGGGAAGACAGTCTACTTATAAAGCAGGTGTCCAAAAATAATGTAAGTAGAACAAGAATTTCTATCTTAAAATTAGATTTTAAAACATTGTGCGCACATGTGGACTGCGCATACCCTTACGGTGTCTTTCAGCCACTCGGCTTTACTTTAAAGGTCCCCATACAGTGTCCTTCGGCTCATAAAGGTTAATATGATATCTACACGGCGCCACATCCCAGAAGATTGCTTTCTTCAATGTTAATGTAGTTCAAGCAGTTGGAGACAGAGAGCAAAATAAACATTGTACACAAAGAAAATGTTATATCTGACCAAGAACCAAAGTAACTCACCTGCCAGGATGGTATCAATGCCTTGTCCCCATGAATAACGAAGCCAGTTGAGACCCTCCAACTGATATGGATGAAGCTGCATACCAGTTTGGTCAATATAATCCGGCTGTTTATCCAACTTCTTCTTTAGGTCTGTCAGCGGCTTCTCAGGTGGTGGTGTGTACCGTCTGTGCAACAGAAGTTGAAAAGTATAATACTGTCATTTGACGAAATGACGGGTTCTAATTTGGATGATTGGCTTTATTAGCAGCTCGGTTACACACTCTTACACTCAAATTACAGGGCTGATATACATACACCTCATAATTCACTGCTGTAGGCACACACTAGTCCTCTCTGGGTAACAGTCTCACTGGATCACACACTCCCAGTATTACACATAAACGCAGTTTTCAACTCGCACTTTTAAATCTTAACAGTTCTTTTACGCACTTCCCTTTGCTGTCACTTAAACACTCAAACACTCTCAGATATTCCCATCTGTTCCATCTCTAAATGTTGTCATATAGCCTCTGCACCAACCACGCACAGAAAACAGCCCATACTGCTGGCAAGTGTTTACCAAGCTATTGCATACCAACAGTCGTGGCATGACTCCAGAGAAAGCCAGTCACATGATAGCTACTACTGTTGAAGTGTGACGTCATTGCGCCTACATGGAAGTCTACTGACTGAACCATTGCCTAGAAGCTGGTTGCATAACCTCACTGTTCCACTGTTGCCAGCATGTATTTTGTCATTAGGTGTTTAATGGTCAGTTACCTAGCAACGCTCTGTCCATCCAGGTTACAATATTCTTTCTAAATAAATGTTACATTTTCTATATGCGAAATCAGTGAATTAAACAGCTGTTGACACTAGTACACATCTATGAGAGAACATATGGCTACTCCATTGTTTTTTAATGTATTTTACTACGTATGAATGAATCCAAAACAGGGAAAAATGATTTTGAAACTGTAACCTCATGCCAATGCATGAACAGGCCTCTGAAGACTCCAAAACAAAAGCAGCCAGCAGTGAAGTGGTGATTCTGAATTGTGGCGCCAGAATGATTGGGTTGAGGTTCTGATATCAGTATACAGTATAATTATTGTTAACAAATAGCTGTTAACATAGAACTTATATAAAATTAAACTAATTTTATGAAAAACAGATGAGGCCAAATTAATTCCAGGTACTTATATCACTTCAAATCATACTTTATAAAACAACTGAGGCTTCCATAAGCAAAAATGAAAGAAATGATTCTGGAAGTATATAATATTTAAAATCCACTGTGTGCTTCTCATTAATTACAGAACTAATGGTCTAAAACCATCAACATGATTACTTCTGCATCAATGAGGCACAAAAAGACACATAAAAACATCTGACTGCTCTTGCTTGACTAAAACTTATATGAAGATACTGTAAACTATACAAAGGAATGAAACTCCATTTAACTTACGGTGTCTTGTCTCCATCCTCATCTTGCAGTTCCCTTGTCTTTGTTCTCTTTCCCTTCCCTTTCTTCCCCTTTCTACCTGACCCATCAACATTACAAGATGCTCTCAAATCCTGAAACAAACCAGATTAATATTATGACATAATGTTCTTGGCTTGTGAATTATATGTGAAATTACTGATGATGACCTAACCATCTGTCTGAAGGAAGTGTGGAAAACCATAAAAATCTTTAGTCTGAATCACAAATCTCTAAGCCAACCTTTAACTTCTCGGTGCAGATAATACTAAAGACATGAATAATGTTGAATATTTCATTGCTACATTGATGCCTGTATGGTGACCACTTCCAACAACAACCTAGGAAGCATTTGCATAGCACAACAATTCTGGTACATTCCTTGTTTTCACCTGCAAGACAGGATAAATCCATTTTAATTATCTCTAAAACCATATAACTTATGGGAAATACATATAGGGTACAAAATGTAAGTTTCATTTTTATCTACAACTTTTGTTTGAAACAGGTTTTGTCCTGCACAGGATTTTAGGTTCTCACAGAACTGGTATTGAAGAATCCTATCTTCTGGGATACAGAGCTGTGTAGTTTGTTGAGAGACAAGTCATGTTTCAGAGGGACATGTCACATTTCCATTTCCAGGGATGATGAGTAAGTTAAGCAAAAAAACTAGAATGAAGCAGGCAAAAAAGGAAATGCAAAGGTTTTGTGCTGATAAATGTTTAGTGACTTACATACAAGATGTGCATATAGACACATTTTGCTCTTTATGTATAGCATTAGTTATTGCTGCCTGTCTTAATTTTACTAAACTGCCCAACATACCATTAAATTAAAAATATCCCTTCTGTGGTTTCTGATCTGCCATGTGCAGATACATGAACAGACAAAAATGAAGGTAGTATGTGCATTTTAGCAGGTTCTCCTTCTCAACTGAAAAAGGAAGGTAAAAGGTCACATCCATATTATTTTTAAAGCATTAATGCCATATAATATTGTCACAAATTTGACGGTAACCATTTTCTGACACCAAGATGTCATGCGTAAAGCAGTACGTGTGATAAAAATAGCGGGTTTTATATTGGATGATTGGATTTATTGCCACTTTGGTTACAATTTCTCTTAATTGCAATCAATACAGCACTATCGCTGATTTACACACTTTTCCTGTTCACCACTGCATTTGCAATATGATTCTCAGTTTCCACTAGTTGTCTCCTGGCAATGGATCTGAACACAGAAACTATCACTTCAAATCACTATGAAGTCTTCTTGCCATTCTAATTCTTCTCCAACTACTAACCTCCCATGGCTATATCCTATCAACAGCTGCCTGAACTAAACTATGCTAAATCTTACATCCTCTCAGCACAGACCACACTCAGAAAACACAGCCTCTGTATTGCTGGGTGATGTCACTGCCTACGCAGAAATGTGTTTACCGAGTCACTGCCTATTAACAGGTTGCATAACGCCCTTGCTCTATTGCTGTGTGCAAGTATTACTTAGCATCAGCTGTTTCTGTGGTTCAACAGTTCTTGCATGGAGCAAATACTCCATCACAGTTATTTAAAAAACAGGCTACAAGATGCTTCTTATAACAAATACTTATATGAACCTTCTGTTCATTATACTGAGGTTGCAGCACATAGTTAACAAAGGACAACCTTGGTGATATATTTTTAATTTATTAAAGACCTGCTTCTGATGATTTGTCTAGGTACATTTTAATCTTTGATTAGACTATTTACTCACATAAAGGTAAAGATATCCCTGTAACAGGCCATCAAGGCTCCCAATGATATTATTAATTACAAATTTTAATTGGCTGACAAATCCAACAAACATGAAACACACATAACTGTGATAACTGCTAGCGACAGAAGGCAACAGACTATTTTCTTAATATGGTTAGTCGCTGGCTTCCCACCGTGGCGGCCCGGGTTCAATCAAGTGGGATTTGTGGTGGACAAAGTGGCGCTGGGGCGTTTTCTTCGAATACTTTGTTTTACTCTGCCAATCTTCATTCCAAATTCTTCATCATCATAATCACCCAGGGCAGGTACAATAGGCCAATCAGTTGCTGCCGTGCTAAGTGGACCTACTTGGACTCCACCCCCCACTAAGTGAGTTAAAAAAAAAAAACTAATTTTTTTTTAATACATTAACCAGAGCCAACTTTATTTTAAAAACAAACAGAAAGGTGTTTCAGAGGTCAGTGACTCACCATGTAGAAGTCAATGGCCTGTTTCAAACCAAGAATGCTCTCATTTTCCTCTTCCCAAGTAGCTTGATCATAGGACAGATCTCGCCATTTCACCAGGTACAGAGTTCGGCCATCACGCATTGTTCGATGGTTAATAATTCGATGAACAATCATCCATTCTGGCTTAATACCATACCTTCAACAAGCAAAATCCAAGATTTCCACATATTAATAATAACAGTAATATACTCTCACATACAGCTTTAAACGTTCCTTTTTTGAAAGGTTTTAATTTAGCATGCTACTGTTTATGCTCAACTGAAAGCATTAACCCATACCTGGGGCCTTCTCTCCTGATACAAAAGTACTCAAAAAACAAATTATATTACTTACTTATTCACTCATGAAGCCAAGCCCTTCTTGAGGAGCCGCCAATTCTGCAGTTACTCAAGAATTTGCCAGCATTTTACGGAACCCAAAGGTTCACTACTGTGTTCACAAGAGCCCTCCACTGGTCCCTATCCTAAGCCAGATCAATCCACTCCATTATAATACTGTCCACCCACTTACTTACACCTTGGTCTTCCCAGTAGTCTCTTTCCTTCTGGTTTTCCCACCAATATCCTTCATGCATTCCTCTTCTCCCCAATTTGTGCTACATGCCCTGCCCACCTCATCCTCTTTGACTTCATCATTCTAATTATACTTGGAGAAGAGTACAAGTTATGAAGCTCCTCATTATGCAGTTTTCTCCAACTTCCTGTCACTTCATCTCTCTTTGGTCCAAATATTCTCAACACCCGCAGTCTATGTCCCTCCCTTAATGTTCTAATTTTTATGTTTTTTGACAGCAGATGAGAAGACAAAAGGTTCTGGACTGAATTGTAGCAAGCATTAGCCAAATTCAATCTCCTCTTAATTTCCTCCTGAATCAGGAATTATATTACTACGTGCCAAAGTAATAATTAACAGTATTACAGGAATGGTAATTAATGACATTAAAAATGATGAATTACAATTTACCTATCAATTCAATTTCATGCTAAATCTTCAACTCCTAGTAACTGGTCATCATACTGTACACTGTCCTCAACTTGCATGCAGAAAATCAAAAGGACTGCTAACACTTTCCACCAAGACTAGTAATTATCTATCCATGTATAGGTCAGTAATTCGGTCCAGTGATTGAGGCTAGCTCTTTCTAACGGACCCAACTGAATAGGTGTTGTCCTTCACCTGAGGACAGAAACAGATCCAGTTTCCGAAACGTCGTGTTTTTACTTGTTATCTTAAAAACCAGGACGATGGATAAGTCCAAAAACCCAACATATCAGTGCAGTAATTCCCCGTTTCCATGTATTCTTTTTTGGTTCCTTTCATATGAGGGCTATGTGGGGGAGAGTTCATGCATGCGTGGTACCATCACATAACTGGTCAACCAGTGTTTGTTTTCATCTCCAGAGAGTGAGTTATGTGTCCTGTCACTGATAATCCCACCTTCTACAAAATTTGAGCCGTTATCCCCTTTCTTCATGCTAAAAACATGAGTGCTGTGGAAACCCATCATGAATTATGGTCAGTTTAAAGCCAAAATGCAATGGATGAAGGAACTATAAGAACATTAAAGGATGGGTGAACAAATGTTCACAATGAAGAAAGCAGTGGCCAACCATCAGTAATGAATGGTTTTGTTCAAAGTGTTGGCCAAAAACTCAAAATTTCAGAACTTTCATGTGAATTCCCACAAATTTCACGCACTGTTATCTATGAGTGCCAAGCACCTATACTGAAAGGCCAAACTCTCCTCGTGTGATAGACCCCCCACTTCAAAAACACATATATGTCTATGAGATAATAAAAATTTGCGGGTCTTGCACATAGTGTTCTCTCTTCAGTATGATCTGAAGTAAATAAATCTCTGAAGGTCGCAGTGCAAGGGCCAGATTTTATGGCCCATCCCTTATACACATACACATGAACTGAAGTAATATTTAGACATTCAACAGGGATAATATTCCATCTCTGTGTGAGAAGAAGGGGGAGGTAACTGCTTTGCTCAGTCAGGGCACCTACACTGAAAGACCAATCCCTCCTCTTGTCAAAGAGGAGACCCCACTGCCTAGTAGACACACACACACACACAGATAGGAAGAAGACTGCATGAACCTACTATAGGAGAATAGCCTAATCTTTTGATTTGCTAGAGACTGCATAGAAGGCAACGCCTCCAATTCCTCTTTTTCCATGGGAACATGTTTATGCGCATGCTTGGCTTAAAATGAAAATTACTGACAAAAGACATGATTCTTCATCCCAAATTATGAGAGCTAGAATCTGAGGAATAAAACAGAGTGTCTAATGTTTCCTTGCTAAAAACAGACCTGTAGTACTTATCCTCTAGTGCAGAATCATCTGCATTAGCTTCTTTGATTCTCTTCATTCGGTTATCCAGTTCATCAATTGGTTCCTCCAATTTTGGAGGTTCATCCATGTCATATTTGCGCATGTAATTCCGGATCATCAGGGGATGGAATACATCCATCTGAAAACAAAACAAAAAATATGAGCGAACTATGAATTCTGACACCTGAAATGTTCTGCATTCCTTCCTTCACACAGTAACAATGCTCACAAAAATCTGGACCAAATAACTCACTACAATACAAGCTCCAGCTGAAAAAGACGTCCATGTTTTTACTGTCACTGTTTTATTATTTATTGGGCAAGTGCAAGTCTTGATCTTTTTAGACTGAACTGAAAAGAAAAATGTCAATAATTCAAGTGTAAATTTTTCAGTTTCAAAGTAGCTGGCTAGCAATAATCAGCTTCTCAAAAATCCCTCTCCTCCATTCTGCCACACTGCATCCTTCTCTACTTCTGTATTATTAGTAGGAATATGTTAATACACTATGACAAAGGTCTGGTGTTATAAAATGCAATTACTGTAACAAGTACCGTCTAACAGAGAGAACTTCTCACTCCCATTCTGTTCAAATGCTTCCCAACTCTCATTGAACTGAGTCATTCTCACACATGTTTATTATAAGTCTTGATTTACATAATGCTGCTTTCAGTTGCTAAGATTATACAGGCCTGAGCTATTGGACAATCACTGAATAAACTTTCGTGATGAATGGGAGGATGTAATTATGGTCTAAACATATGTCAACCTTTGTCCGATGGGGACTGAGGAAAACAACAAAACCTTAAATCAGGACAGTCAATATGACAGCCAAGATTTGAATCCAAATACTACGTGGGAGTTCTAACCACCCAATCACAACATTCAGTAATTCCCACTGTAATAATGATCTGGAAAACCATAGCTTCTCATACACTTCAGCACTTAACTGTTGAATTCTGTTGTTTTGCTTCTTGCAAACAGATTCATATTCAGTAGAAAATGGCACTGATGACTCTTTAATCTAAATGACCTACGTTGAATTCCTGCTCACAAACTCAGAAAATCAACTTATTCTGAGCATGTTGGCAAACCATATTTTTCAAGCTCAGATAATGAACTGTAAAGTGTGGAAATAAGCGACAGTCTGTAATTACTTGTAGTTCTGAGTTGTCAATAAATCCAATATCTAGTCCCTACCCCTTCTATAGTCATGCCCCTAAATCATGACAGCAGGCTTAATCAGTTCTGCTTCAACTCCTCATTAAAATATGATCAAGAAGAGATGACGAGTCAATTACTCACCTGCAACTCCGAGACCCACTCACAGTGCCAGTAAGACTTTTCATGCCACTTGACAAAAAATTCCCTCTGTGGTTTTGGTGTTCGAGGAGGACGTCTGCTTGTTGATGGTTCCTCGGATGGCTTATCCTCCTCTTCTTTACCATCCGACTTCTTTGGCTCTGCCCAACGCCAAGTAAGGATCTTAGCAACTTTTCCTGGCAGTGGCTTTGCCTAACAGAAAATAAAGTAAAATGTAACACTATTTCCATTTCAGCTCATATCTTATGGCTTCAACATAATCCTGGGATAGAAAAAAGATAAAGATACCAATGCAGAGAGCAGCTACTTTTGGTTACAATGGCATTAAATAAAATGCATATGTAACTGTGTCCCTGCTTTATGGACCCTTAGGTAAAGGAATTTACCCTTACAGAAATTATGAATAACAACAGAATTCATGATACAGACTATAAATCTGATATTACACCAATTTGGGGTATCATTTTTTACACAAAATAGTTATTAAACAACAAATACGGGGGGGGGGAGAATGTTTGTAACAAACTCAACTGCATATGTACATGTGTCACGGACAAAGCAGAACACGTAACAAGTGACTGGCTAACCTACAACGCATGTATCAGTGATGTGGGGATATCTTATTTTAGATTGTACAGTAAAGGTAGAAGGTAAATCTGTCCTCGTACTTATGTAATTAAGTATCACGTCATGAACGCATACAGGGAAATGAAAGTACACTTCCATGCACTGTTAACCTTATCATTTGATAGAGAGGTGAACACCAATCTTCATGCCCCAGCCACTTTACTCCTGACATACGGCTCTTGTACCTATTGGATAGGAGACTGAATGAACCCCAGAGCTGGTCTGGATGCTTTGGATAACATAGAAATCTCTTGCCCATGCTGGGAATCAAACCCCAGGACCTTAGCTGTCTAGCCCACTACTTTAATAACCAAGCTATCCCCGCTCCGTAAACTGTGACCTCCATTTACTTTATTTAAGACGTCAGGTAGAACCCATTAGGTTCTAGTGCATCTAAAACATCATTAAAAGTGTACCTACTATCATTTCCATTAGGTAAAAAAGGGAGTTTTTATTAAAAGTGCAGAATGAAAAAAATTTGCATATTTACATTTCTACTTATAACAAGGCAGTCAATGGAAATATAAAATCTGCATTATGGGACATCACAATATGGAAAATTTTCAAACACATCCCTTCTGTAAGGCAGGGGTATTCTGTATAATACTGTCCTAAATCAGGCACTGAATAAAGTACTATACAGTGACCAAGCCTGCCTTCTGCTCATACATACAATGTAGACAGTACTGATAGAATATATATGGGCAGTTATCTTGGCTAGACTGAATTAGGTGGAGTTATCTTTGCCAGAATGAATCAAAGTATTTGCCTCTCCACCCTTTCCCTTGCAAGACATACCAAACCCCTCAAACATGGTCACAAATGCACGACCATAACAGCACACACTGTGTGGTTCAAAGGCTATGTGAAACAGCAAAAACAAATTAAGATTTACCGAGCATCTTGGACATTTCCAGTCACCATCAGGAATGTCTGTGAGTGGTGGATTTAGGCAGAATGTGTGGTAAGCAGATGGACAGGAATCACAACACAACAATTCACCACCATCTTTACAAACCCTGAAAGAGAGAAAAAATTACAGAATCTTGGGCTTCACTTATCTTTCCTCTACCATACAAACTATAACTTCACTAGACAAATTCTACTAGGCAGAAATGGCATCCAATTTTGAAACATTCAAAACTTTTGAATGATATAAATATACAATACAAAGACAAGAACAGACTAAAAATATTAAAGTACATCCTAGCAAATAAGACTGAATAATTCAAGTCCAAATGTATGGTCTTGTTGTGTACATGGGAGGTGACAAAATACTGAGGACAACCATAGCATGAAGAAATAGTTGAGGAGATGAGACACCAGATCTGGCAACGGGATGAAAACAACTGGCATAAAGAGACAAATACATGAGAATAGGTTGTGGGATGTCTGCAAAGAGCAGAATGGGCTCCATAAAGAGAAAACCCAGAAAATGAGAATGACAGTGAGCAAGTAAATACTGTTGTTAACAGCTTTATTTGACAACAGCAAGCAAGCTGGCCCAAGAAGTACAACTTTTGCCTTGTACATTGGAGCTGCCCCGTTTTAATATTGACCAGGACTCTGACTATCCCTCCACATCCTTTCCAATTCAGCATTCACTAATTTTCCTACTATTCCATGCTATATAGTCTGAGATAATGATAGCACCACTATACAACTAGATAATTCATTTTCTAACACTTCATCAACTGCATATGATGTAGATAACAGAATCATTGGCATTGGCAGAACAGCCCTTTTTGAGCCATAAGTAAAAAAAGTCAAGCTATCCCTGTAACAGGCCATGGAGGCCCATAGGGTTGTAAGATGCTGAGGTTCCCACATTTTCTAGACAATCGGCTCATATATGGCGGAAAGGTTGTCAGCCCTACATGCCGGCCGCCCTTTACTCCCAACAATATTCCAAGAATATTCCTGGTACTCATTTCTGTTAGAGGCAAAGTTGACATCCAGGGCCATAGTGAGCCTGGAAGGATTAGGTCAATTGAAAAAATCCAATGACCTCATTGGGACATGAACCCGTGACCTTCCAGCTTGTAGCATAGTGCAACCAACTACGCTACTGTGTGCCCCCTTTTTGAGCCATAGCCTTCCTCATATCAGACAATCTGTTTTCACTTCTTTAGACTTTGCAACAATAATTTTTTACAGAGCAATGTTGTCAACCTTCTGTCCAACACCCTACATAGGCTCAGGCGCTGGATTCTCTTTTCGCCACCTTCTATGACTTGCAGGGCTATGGCAGATGTATTCTAACCCGCCTCCACATGAAAGAGATAACAGAATACTTGTGAATAATGAACCAAAGAATGTAACTGTGGCCTACTGATGGCACATTTACCTGAAGTGACTGAGGAAGACTGTGAGATCCTGCCACAATAGCCAGGCTGATAGAGGATCTGAACCCAACATGTACTGAACGTGAAACAGGAATGCTACCCAATACATCAGGGCATCTGGTAACAACTGAGTTTCTCAATACAAAAAAAAATTCCCATAAAACATTTGCAAAGGACCAAAAATATTTATGGAGAAGACATTACTATGAACAAAAGCACAGTCAGTTGCCATACAAAGCAAATGTATGCAGCGGTAGCAGGACAAGATGAGCTCACACTGCTTGGCCACAAGTGTCACCGTTAAAATACTTGAATGTGCTGTTGCAATCATCTGTAATGTTCAACGTGAACATGTCATGTATGAAATTAATAAAAGCAGCATCTCAAGAATTTCAATGCCTATTAATTCCTAATGTGCATGTGAGATGGATATGACATTTTAACAGCTAAGCTTTCCATCTGCTTCTGCTGGTTTATATTTTGACCCTGATGAGGTGGTATGCTTCCCTGAAATGTCAGGCTTTCTCCAAACTACACATTACAACCCAGACCAAATTTCTCATTATTATTTGGAGCTGATCATACATTATGGGGTGAAAGAAAAGTCTTCTAGTCTCAGACTGTCTATGGTGATCAAACCCACATTTACACTTTCAGCCACAAAGCGTCCGTAGAATGGTGTCACAATACCTCTGATCAGAAGCTGTTTAAAGTGATTCCCTTTGCTGTTTTTTTTTTTTNTACGATGACTCAATGATAGAACTCCAGAATCTATTCAAACTTCAAAGTAACATAGCAGAAATCTTGCTTCATGACGACATGGATGTCTTCACACAAGTGAAAAGTTCAAGGAAGTGATCATTGAACCTCAACAGACTGTACAGCCCGAATCTTGCTCCTTTGAACTTTCACCTCCTTGCAACCTTCAAATATGATATTCATAGTACAGAGTTTTAGGATGAAGACAGAATGAATTATGCAGTGCCTCTGTGCTGCAGAAAAAACTGTTACTGGAAGGGCATAATGACCTTTGTTTCCAATGTTATATGGCCACTGCATCTGACAGACAGAATGCTGGAATATAACAGCACATAGACATCACACCTGGTCACTCTTTAGGTAAGTCTCAGTATTAAATAAATTATGATAAAAAATTTAGACTTTCAGAGCAAACCATACACGATTCTTGGCAATTCAGTAAATATTATGTTCGCTTCCATAACCTACCTGCAGAACTCCATGTGCTCGTCATCATCCTGCTCTTGTATTCCCTCTCCCTCACAGTGAGGACACGACCACTTGCCCTCTGGAGTTTCCTCCAATTCTGGGTCCAGACACACAAGATGGTATGCTCTAGGGCATGTATCACATAAAATAATTTCACCACCTTGCTGACAAACTTCACAATAATCTTGATGATCCGTCTGTAAAGTAAGTATTTCATCATTACCATAAATGTAAGAGCTTCTGAAAACACACAAATATGTACTTTCTACTGCAAAATCATACGCTTTTTATTTAATGTAATATCAATTAATTAAAGGCACAAAAATTATAAGCTATGCTTGCTCTGAAAATTGTGCATACCTCCAAAACACTGGAAAGGTTGGTTTGTGGCTAATTCAAGATAGTGTATATACAGCACTGAATGAGATGAGAGGATGATTATGTATCATAAGATTGAAATTATGGCACAAGAAGTGGTGGTAATCTATTACAGCATCGAGAACAACCATGCTGAGATAGATAATGTTCCAGCAGACGTCGAAACTCGACACATCATAAATATAAAGCAGGAGCACAACTTGACTCCACTATATTTGATACTGAAAGTCTTAAGACTTGTGAACAATGCCCATGGACTTAAAAAAAAAATTCAGCTATGGAGAAAGAGCAACTGTACATACAACCACTATTATGAAACTACACAATTGTAAAAACAACACTTCCCAGTATAATTATCACTAGTGTCTCATTACATACCTCATAGCCATCCTCACCATCGCCACCTGGAAATTTGGACGTGGTTTTGGTCTTTTTCTTTTTCTTGCTTTTGTTGCCGATTTTTGTTTTAGCTTTGCGCCTTACAGGTGCCTGATTAGGTGCTTGGCTTGATGGAGGTGTATCACCACTTCCTGCACTTTCTTCCTCCACATTTGACTCTCCACCAATATCATCATCATCAGCTTCTGCAGAGATCTTATTTGCTTCCTCTGCTTCTGCTAACATCTGTTCAAACTCCGCATCAGAGTCTCGGTCGCTCACTCCTCCACTCGCATCACCCTCGTCCTCCTGTGACAAGCAGGATGAACCATTTACATCAGTTGAAGTACAATACTGCACCTGTAACATTGTGCTGGTTCTTTGGATTCATGCAGGACTGGGGGGAGGGTAAAGATAAAAATCACATCTGGCTTGTAAGGGCGGCCATCCCTAGCAATTTAAAATATATTCAATCCGCATGACACTTCTTTTCTTGCCATTAATAACTCCATGGAGTGGAACTTTTCTTGGGAACCTAATAGCCCCTCAGCTGGTCAAATAAATTTACTGCCTATTATGGAACCCTAAACTTTATTAATGTGTTTACATGAGCCCACTAGTGGACCACCTCCTGAACCAGATAAATCTAGTCCAGAACCTGGCACCATTTCTTTAACAACCCAAGTCATCCTTTCCTTTCAGGTTTCTTGACTAAAACTGCGTATGCTTCCTCATCTTCCCCATGCATGCTACATGCTCCCCCCGCCTAACCTCTAGATGGTCGAAAACATCTTGAAATAAATGAGGGTTATTTACTACTTCAAAATTCACTAAGACTGAGAAAATAATACATTACTTTGGCTAGGACTGCAAAAAATATGAACTAAATAAGGGATTTCAGCAAATGCAGGAATGTTTACATTGGCATTCCATGGTATGATGTATCTGAACTGTCTTATATGTGACACCATGTTCAAAGCAACAGATTACTTTTCAAATGAACTATTCAGAGTACTCTGCAATCAAATCATCACATCACAATTATGAACTCATACATTAAGGAACTGACCACATATATCCTTATGCAATATACCCACTTCTTGATTTACAGATTTCATTTACCTACACGCATTTGAAATTACATTTGTCATGTCAACACTGTTTTTAATTTCCACGGACCCACCTTTTTTTTTTATGTGGTCTGGAAAGGAGAGCAACAGACCACCTAAACCTCAACCCTCTACCTCAAGCATCTTGAAAGCCAAACAGCTGCTCAAAAGTGGGGAGACACCTTCAACTTTTGCTTCTCTATAATCACCCCCCACTGGGTCATCTGATCCAGATGACCCCCTTCCAAACAACTCCCACCTCCCCACCACCAGCAAACTGCCTCAGGCAGTATTCAACTTAGTGTTTTCAAAATTTATTATCAGAGATGGGCTTTTCGACGACTCTTATTATCATCAACAAACATTCAAAATACCATCAAAATAATTTTAAATTTCAACTAGAATATGACAGTCCCAAGAGGCATATAACCTTACCGAACTGCCACGCTTGCGTTTCCCAAGTTTAATCTTGAGAGTGGGCACCTTGCTTGCACTCTTCTTACTGCTACTACCACTGGTTCCACTTTTCTTTCCACTTCGACCACGTTTCTTCTTGATTTTCTCTTCTCTCTCATCGTCATCATCATCATCTAGACCTCCAAGGTCTGAATCCGCCTATCACACAAATATGTAGTTACCACACTTATGGAGAAACAATTAACCTAGCAACATCACACAGGAGAGTCCTTCTTGACAAGTTAATAAGCAGCTATTCAAGAAATTTTCAATTTTATGGAACCTGAGGGTTCATTACGATGTTCATACAGGGCCACGACTGATCTCTATCTTGGACCAAAGGAATCCAGTCAGCATCCTCACACTATTTCTTTAAGATATAGTTTCATATTATCCTCCCATGTATGTGTGGTCCTTCCAGTGGTCTCTTTCCTTCAGCTTTTCTGGCCAACATTTTGTATGCACAGAAAATAAGTGACTCTATGTAATTAATGTAACATCATACAATGGGAGATATTATGCAAGTAGAAAAGATATTCTTTACATAGCTCATTTAGCATTGTTACAGTCCACAAATCAAGGTCAGACTGACTGGATGTAGCTTGGACTGTAAAAGCAAGAAATGTGCATCAGTGACAGTGAAGGAACTGCTGGAAATGGTGTTTTCTGTGAAATCCAACCGGAGGCTATATAACAAGGACCAGTATGACAAATTAGTTGCAGGCCAGATGCCATCCAATGAGGATGTGAGCACTAAAATGGAAGAACCAAGTGATGACCAGCAAACACACAGAAGACTTTACGTATGTTGCAGCACAGTGATTTGTGGAGTATGTAGATCTGTAAAACCATTATAGTTATCTGTTGTCATGAATTATAAAAGTCTAATAAATCCAACTACCAATCCAAACCATGTCTAGTCACAAACATGTGACAATATGAATGGGCATGAGAAGTCACTCCTAATCTAAAAAATCTCTAGGTTTTAGGAATATGTCTGCCATATAAACAGAGGCAATCAGCTACATAATTAAACTATGAAATGGTTTGAGTTTGTTGGTTGCAGAGGTAGGAAAATGTTTCAGAAAAGAGTAAAATATTGTTCTTTGATGATCAATATAGACTGCATCCAAAGGAGAAAGAAAATCTAAAACACATATGTTTAATTTGTTCCTGCGAATACTTCCCATTTTTCACTAAATCAAGGCATAACTTGAGCTGCAGAGAAAACTGCAAAGACTATGCTCAATGGTTAAAAAGTTTCTTTGTTGGATACAGCAGCCATGCTTGCAGTATTACAGAATGGCATTAGCCAGGAAGCTATGAAACTACTTTAGAAAAGTTATGAATAGTTAGAATGTAATATCAGATGAAGAATAACATGCACTCAGGATATGTGGTGACACACAGCATGATCCTCAGTAGAAGCTAAATTTCACCCCACCTCCAAAAAACAGTGTTCATGCTAATGGTAACTCTGCAGCCTACAAAGTGTAACACACAGGTATAAAACTGTAGTCTGACATAATTATAAAAGCGGAGAGAAGTGATGATCGGAAGACAAAAATTGCAAATTGATTCCAATATGACAGGAGGCAACAAAATATTACAAGCCTTAAAACTTTCTGACAGGAATATTTTATATATCCAAGTCCATCGTGAAAGCCTACATGAACTGGAAAGTTCTACTCTAGATCTCTGTGAAAATCATGGAAACTAGCATGAATAGGTACTTCCAACTTCTACTGATGGCCAAGCAGCAATACCACTCATTTTAACTCTTTGCACACCATGTACTGACTACACCAGTTTGTGTTCACAGCCAGATACTAGCTAAGTGCTGATCAATTACTACAGCAATTCTGTTGATAGATGACATCAAATGTGACATACAAATGACTGGAAGAAGAAATGGGCTTTCAATGATGCCTGCTGCTGTCTGAAGGTAATATTGTGGGTTTTCTGGACAACTGCATTTACCGTGAATAGCCTCAGAATTTCTAACAAGCAGTTCTATGGTGGGGATGGCAGTCAAGGGGTTAATAAACTAACAGTCACAAGTGGGTGGGGTGGGGGGATATGGTCACCAGTGGACGAAAATATTTTGGCTGGACAATTTTCAACTGAGCAATGAAGTGGCTCTGAAGTTCTGGCAATCCCTCTCAGTCACTTGTTGCACAAAGGGAGTGATGAACTGCATACAGACAAGTACAATAGAAATAAATAAATCATGCATGCCAATCACAGGAGAGTCACAGAAAGGCAACAGAAATGATTAAAACACCTTCTCTGATCATGTGAGGCCACCAGATTTTCAGGAATTTTCCAGCCCTTGGTTCTTAGTGTGTTTATGTAGTGTGAAAGCATATGGTGCAACTAAAACGAATATAACTTTTATGACAACCAACTACTCTTATGCTCAAGAATGTACCTCAATAATTTAAACATTAGATAAGATGTATATGTTAATAAAAAATGCAGCATATCTGTAGGTAATCATTTCTGGTTTTGTAGTGTGTAGATAAAACATCTTTGATGTTAATAAAATATTCCATGTAAGACTAAAATCTGTTTAGGTCCACCATTTAAGATATTTTTTAACAAATCGGATTTGCTCATATTACACACACAAACAAACTCCAATAGGGTTTCACTGTATATGGCAAGCATTCTACCTACTGGAAAAAAGAAGTAAGGAATACTTTACAGATTCTGGGTTATGTTTGCTGCCAGAAGAATGTCTCAGTCATATACATTCAGAAAAGAATATTTTCATGTAAAATGAAGCTAGAAACAGGAATACCTTTGAACTGTCCTTGGAAGTCCTAGATCGGCTTGCCTTGCGTCCATAGCTCTCTTCTGATACAGATTCAGGTTCCTGCTCTGTGTTGGGGTTGATATTGGTGAAGTCTCGCCACTTAGCTGCCACTAACATCATAAGCTTAGACATTGGAACCTATTCAATAAAAATATGCACCAAGCAACTGTAAGAACACATTCTGCCAAAAAAAATGATTGTACATTTAAAATTCCAAGTAGATTTAGTATTTTTTTTACCTTAGGGTTTTCCTTGCCTAACATTGGCCTCACATGCTGCTGGAACAGCTTGTATGTTGTAAGGTTCTGGAAGTCTGCCTCCGTATACTCCACATCAACATCAGTCAATCCAAATGTCATACATACTTCCTCCACTGTTGGCATACCTGCATATTACCAAGCAAGCATTAAGAAGAACTTGTAGTTGGTGTGGTGTTAGGGTACTGAAGGATTACACCTTCTAGGTTTTAGTACATGGGCTCTAGTAAATTTTATAACGAATCTTTGGGTTCCGTAAGAGTGTGTGAACTTGAAGAGTACTATTTTCTGGGATAAAACACTGTGTAGTCCACTGAAATTCAACTTATGTTTCAGAGGAACATCCTACATCCATCTCTGAGGTCAAAGAATAAGCCCAGAAAGAAATCAGCGTGAAAGCAGGTGGCAAGCAGAGTTCCTCTGAAATGTCAGCTGACTTTTAGCAGACTACAAAGTGTTATATCATGGAAGCCAGTACTCTTCATAACCACTGCTGTGGGAACACCTAATTCTACATGTGGGCACTCATTTGACTAACTCAGTAATTATAAGGTTCTCAAAAAGGACTCTGTTCCAAAGAGTCAGTTTGCATTATTAGCAATGTACGTATAATAGTACTGAAATAAGAAGGAAGTAATACCATGAGCACAGCAGATGTTTCGCTGTGATTACTGTGTAACTTCTTGTTGTAATGACTGTGTCATTAGCAGTCAACAAACATACTGTAGCCAGCAAGAGCTACTAGAAGGCCTGAACTCACTACTCTTGCAATCAGGTACGTGATTCAGCAGCAAGTTTTTATAGTTGAATTCTTCATGTGTAAGAGAACTCATAAGTGCATTTGGAGGTCACTAATAATTAACCACAAGAATGAGTTCCTACCAAGTCATGTGTACTGAAGCTTGTCAAGAAGTGGCAGAAAATGGATTCAGTATGTAAAGTAGGAGACAAACATAGAGAAATAACTGAAGACAAATTAAGACATTCAGGCAAAGTTGGAGATTCATACTTGTGAACTATTAAGAGGTTTAGCACAAAAAAAAAACTGGTGTTTCTCACCGGGTTCTATGCTCACAGTTGTAAGACTGCTTACATTTCACATGTATAAAATAATGGTTGCGCATGAGCTCAAGCAACTAAAGACAATGCAGCAAAGGAATCGCTTTTGCAAACTGGGTGCTTCAAAATGTGCATGACAGAGTCACAAACCCACAGCTTTACCTTACTGATTGTGTCAAGATGCAAAATACACGAACAAGGAATGAAAGAAGTCCTTGGCCATTACATAATGTACAAGCAGTGGTGTTCAGTGCACCAAATCACTGGCTAGAAAATTTTTTCTGGTAAACTTTGAACTGACATCAGTACATGAGAAATATATCGAATATCTCCTTCAACAAACTGAGAGCTGAAGAATGACAATATGGGCATTTTCAGTGAGAAAACCCTTGTGCTGCCAAAGCTAACCAGAATTAAACAGCATATGTAATTGCTTCAGTTTCTAGGATGAACTTCAGAAAAGTGTCATGCACTATGAGACATGCTTGAAAAGAAGAAGGGGGCCAGTGAAAGTAATTCTTATAGAATGTGGTGAGTCTGTATCACCTTTTTACAGTAATCAGTTACAAACTTCTCTAGAGGCAGACTGTTACAAGAATTGGTGCCATACGCAGATGAAAATCATGAACTATACTGCTGTTATGGTTAAAAAGTAAACCACTTCTGTGTCATTGCAAGTTACTATCCTAAAATGCACCTTAACAAATCTGAATGTTTCTTTTCACACAGCTATCACCATACAGTATAATGAATAGAGCTGATGCTGTCCCCACCTCAAAAGTTTATATGGCTGCCACATGAACACGATGCAGCACTGTGACTAAAGTGTTAATGAGAAGTCCATCTGTTCACTAGCTCATTCTGATTAAAAAAAAAGAGAGAGAAAAAAAACTCTGTGGCCTGCAGTCCGCAAGTGAACTATACCGACCGAGCGACCACTGCTTGTTGGTGAAGTTAGTGCCAACTTTTTCAGATAGAGGGTGTCACGTGGTCAGTGCAACAGATCCCCATGGACATTAATCTCAGTTTTCTGTTACTAACTGCACTAGCATAATGCCCATCAAAACACCAAAAGGGAACTGTTGAATACAGTGCGTACAATCAAGTGCGNATTGCAGCCGCGGCGCGCACTTGATTGTACGCACTGTACAAACTTCATCTGATCTATCCAATAAAAACAAAGTTCTGGAAAGATAGCAACATTTATACCAAATTGCTAAACTTAAGAGAATAGAAATATGCACCATGTGGTGCTGCGATCTAGTGGAAATATAATCAGGAAGGGCAGTGTTAAAAACAAACATCCTTAAAAATACCTAATATTCGCTTTCTTTCAACTGGCAACACAGCATCATAATGGTCACTGTCTAGTTCACCACTAAACAACTGATACAATTCTTTGAATGACAAATGGACCATCTATAACCTAGGAGTCAGCTGCTAAATGATTAGGCCTCCAGACAGAAAATACACTGACACTCACTTTACAAATTTCACTACTATCTATTATTTTGAAATTACCACCATATATTCCATTTCTTTCACATATACACCCAACTCTTGATTACCCAGGATAATGGTGGGGATGGAAATCACGATTGATCGAAAACCCGGTTAAGACAAATTTTATTAAAAGTAGTACTGTAATACTGTACCTTCATAATACTTTAGGTCTACCTGCATTTAAATTTATTCGACCTCATTTTTATGTCATCTCGTGGCCTATTTAATACTTTTTTTACATTACACTGAAGTATGATTTAGTTATTTCAATCACAGTGTTCAACAATATCCAACACTTTTTACGAATATTCACACTTAAAAAAATGTAATATTGTTGTTTGCTTTTTCGTGGCACTTTCCTTTTTACGGATATCCGTACAAAGCCTACGTAATATTAGCTTGTCACTTAATAAACTGTTCTCTTCACTCTCAAGATAGTCTAGTAAGGATTCCAAATGATTAAGAGCAGCACCATGTGATATTTCATTACTAGCAGCACTGTCGACCTCTTCCTCATTCTCACTTTCTTCCCGCTCTTCTGGCTGCACCCCCACTGAACTTACAATTTCGTCACTGCTTAACATTTTGAAGCCCGGCTCACACGAGTCACATTCAAACCACTCTCTTATATTTTCCTTGTTGACTTCTTCAACATGATGAACTTGGTTAGCCAATTTTGTCAATTCTATGGCTATCTCATTTTCACTGAATCCAGTGAATCCATGGATTTTGCTAACGCACTTGAAGATCGATACAAAGAGACTAACTGGGGCGGCGTATCTGTCCTTGAAACTTTCCACAAATCTTTGCATTCTTTCACCCCTACCCTAGAACATTGTGTTAGCATAACGGGACCAAAAAATGCAGAGCTCGGTTCACACTAGTGTGAAAAGTGTGTTACAACTCACCATGTGAAACAAAAGTGAATTAATATTAAACAACATATAAGCCTCAAAAAAGCCCCGGTTAAGCCGCAAACCGGTTTATCCACCCCCAGATAATCGAGTGTTGAGTGTATTTTGTAATTTAGTCTTGTAATAAGCAGTTTCATATTCTGAATGACCTCATATGCAATGGGCTGAACCATCCAAATAAACAGCTCTCATCTCTATCTTCCATGGATAAACTTTTCACTGATTTATTCACATATTAAATCAAAATTTCTTTGAATATGCACACTAACAGTGGAAGTTCTTTTCAACAAAGCTTAATATTGCAATGCCAGCTGAAGCATATGTACCTCTCCCTGAGGCCCTATCCATAACTGCTACAAGAGACAGAAACCCTTTCTCTCTCACACACATAGATGGCACATCCCAATTGGGGGGGGGGGGCACAGTAGCGTATTTGGTGAGGTTCGAGACTCGATTCCTGATGAGCTAACAGTGTTTTTCAATTGACCTAATCCTTCCAGTCACACTACGGCCCTGGGGTCGACTTAGCCTCTAACAGAAATGAGTACGAGGAATCTTCCTGGAGGTAAAGGGCGGCCTGCTCATAAGGCTGACAATCTCACCAGTTGTGAGCAAATTGTCTAGAAAATGTTGGAGCCCCAACATCTCACAACCTATGGGCCTCCATGGTTTGCTACGGGGATAGATTTATCTTATATTCCAATTGCAAATGTCTCGAGAATGTCGTATCAGAACAGTGTTCTCTACACATCGCTCAGTTTGCTTAAGTATTTCCTACCTGAATTTGAATCCTGTACTGGTGGTGCTTGTTGAGTGTGCTTCTGACTTCCTCGAGACTTCCGTGACTTACGACTACTACTTCCACCAACAAAATCAGAGTCATTTCCACCACCATCATCATCAAATCCATAATCACTCTCCTGCAAACAATCACAAACACAGGTTTGCAGATACAATTAACATCAATAAAATCTAGATTAATAACGGTAAAGTTTTCCCTGTGCTTAAATCATTAACCACTACGCCATGAAGATATATGAGGGAGTGGATGTATAGATCCACATTTTCTTTACCTCGACACTAGTTGGAGGTGAGTGGTCAGGGTCATGCCACGACAGCTTTAACCCTGGTAAACAGCAACCAGTCCTCATTGTATAGGAGGTTGGGTGAACCCCAGAGCCAGTCTGGACGACATGGAGAAGTGAAAATTCTTGACCCTACCAGGACTCGAACTCCAACCTTTTGGTCGTCCATAAAGTAATAATGTATTTAAGACTCACAATCATCAATGACTAATTTGTAGCAGAACTCATATATTATCCTACTGAATGGAATCAACAAAACTTTAACATCAAACAACTAAACTAACCTATTCCTGACAGTCACTGAATTCAGATGTTACAGAAATACGACAAGTCTAAATATGAGTAAAAAGAATTCATTGAACTGAACTATCGCAACCAGATATTGCCTAATGCAAGGTTTCTCAAACTAAGAGTCACAATCCCCTAGCATGCTGGAACCTATTCTGGGCCGGGGGTCACTGATTCTCAAGACTTATGTAAAATACAGTTATACCCATGCACCATTTTGGCAAGCAAGATTTAATGTAAGTCCTTTCAGAAAATGTAGCAGCAGCCATTGAAACATTTCACAGTGTTTTCATAACAGTGAAGGGACATCTTACAGCTTACTGCAGGTGAACAAAAGTTGTAAAGCTATTCAGGTTCCTGTTGTTACCATACAGTCTGGCAGGGACCCACAACAATGTGCTCAACTGCATTTCCATTTTCCAGCACAGCTGCTGGGGGAGCATAAATTTATGTATCATTTTTGGTACGACAAAATTTGAGAATCCCAGAGTTAATGAACAGTTTCTTACATGGGTACAAAAAACGAGCACACTCCGTGGCTTTAGTCCATAAGCGAATTATACGACCGAGCAACCACAGCTTGTCGGTGAAGTTAGTGCCAACTTTTTAGCAGATAGAGGGTGTCATGTGATCAGTGCAATGGTTCCTCACGGCTGTTAATCTCGGTTTTCTAGACAGGAGCCGCTACTTTTCTATTCAAGTAGCTCCTCAATTATCCTCACGATGCTGACTGGACCCTGTTCCAGACCCACTACATCTCAGAAAATCGGATAGCACCGGGAATCGAACCCATAAACTCTGGATTTGTAGCCAGGAACTCTGACCATTAGACTACAGACGCGGTCTCCTACATGAATACAGAACACTAAATAGTTTATTATTATAGTTCATTGACTTACTAACTACATGGAACAAAATCTGTCTTGAGAAATCCCCCATATTTCATGGAACTTAGGGGTCGGTTACTTTTCACTCAACTTCAACCTACAGTCCTTCACCAGGATGAGCTACTGTTTACAACCAATGAGATGACCCAAGAAATAGGTCCAAACGTGTAGTATGATCAACAATGAATAAAAGCGAATGTTGACATAGCAGTGTCTATTTTGTTTCTTTTGGATTATTTGTTGTGCAACTGCGCCAAATTATATCTTTTTGTAATATAACAGCAACATTCCTGTACAGGTTTGAAACACACCCCTATGTGAGCTACAAATATGGATTCCAGGAGAACAAGTTATTCATGTTATACCCTTCTATTTCACTTTATAAATTCACCAGGGTAATGACAATTGGAAATTTAACAATACATATCTTCTTTGTACAGGCATGCCCTGGAGTTATGCCACCTTTAGTTACAGACTAATGCTGTAACTTGAAAATGTCCCTAAGTCGAGGCATTGCCTTACTAGTTACTAGGGCTAGCAGATGTAAAAATATAGAAACAAAAATTTATTGAAGAAAGTCTGAAAGAGGGGGTATATCTTTTACATCACAAGTCAAATCATCAAGGGCTAAACGCTTTCTTGCTGGAGATTTTCATGGACTTCTTGAAGCAGTAATAGGAGTAAGGCTTTGGGATGATGTTGATGGGAAGTAGCTGTCTCAGGTCTTCTGTCAGTCTTTTCTTGTCTCTGTATTTTCTGAGTAACAGGCATAATCCTCTACAAGGTTAGCATTGACTTTCAAACTTCCTTCAAAATCTGGATCATGCTTTTCCAAAAGAGCCAAACCACCTTTGAAATAACAGAAAACTTTAGAGTGAATTTTGGAAGTTGGGCCTTTAGGGTCAATGATGGATATTTCTTGAGGCACATCTTCTTGCCTCTGTTCTTCATGTGTCAGAAATATTTACTGCTGATGGGCTGGAAATGGGACCCCATAAATTCAGCTCCACTTTTCGCCTTAACTACCTTGCCATCTCTACAACATTTTCAGCCACTTCAGGTACGGGATTTTCGAAGCCTTCAAAATCATCTAGCAACTGGGGACGTAATTTTTTTTTCCAGGCCCCTTTCAGCGTAGGGGGCATGCAGTACCGTAGTTAGTTGATGCGCTATGCTACAAGCTGGAAGGTCATGAGTTCAAGTCCCTACGAGGTGGATTTTTTCAATTTACCTAATCCTTCCAGCCACACCATGGCCCTGGGGTCGACTCAGCCTCTAACAGAAATGAGTATTAGGAATCTTCATGGGGGTAAAGGGTAGCCGAGGCATACGGCTGACAATCTCATCAACATGTGTGAGCCGACTGTCTAGAAAATGTGGGAGCCTCAACGTCTCACGACCCCCATGGGCTTTCACCGCCTGTTACACGGGTAGCTTTACCTTTTACCTTTACATTTACCCCTTTCAGTGCAGAGATCTTGACATCATTCCATGCATCTCATGTAGTCTTGATGCCATCTAAGACTCTAAAGCCTTCCCATAATTTCTTTGACTTCTTGCCCAGTTCCTTCTTCAATGCCTACTGCTGTACTACACCTGCTGAAAGCTCTTCTTAAGCAATACAGCTTGAAGGCAACTATGACACAGTGATCCATGAGCTGCAGCACTGAGGTGTTACTTGGTGGCAGGAATATCACTTGAACATTAGGGTGCAAATCCTAATTATAACAGTGTTCACTGGAGTAGCACTTTCAATTCCAGCTAGAATTTCTTTTGTGTTTTTAATCACAGTGTTAACAGTAGTACAAGGGAAGTCTAGCCTTCAGCCTACCTCAGCTTGTGATACATTTTCACCACCAAGTTTGAATGTAATGTGATAGCCTTATGACTTTTCTTTTCACTTTTATCTATCATTATATTAAGCTATTCTACATTTTAATCACAACAAAAAGAGTAAAATAAAAGTTATAAACAGTTTAATGTTCATGTAAGGTGTGAGGTTTTCATGGCAGTGACTATGAAGAAAGCAGTCTTCTGGGATGTGGAGCCATCTAGATATTGTGTTAACTGACGTTTTGGAGGAATGTATCGCCTCCATCTTCAGGGTAGGAAAAAAAAAAGAAATCCACAAGTGGAGGACCAGTGTGAGCAGGTGCTAACAGACTAAGTCTGTTCAACCCTGAAGATGGAGGCGATATGTTCCTCTGAAATGTCATTTGATGTAGTCAGCATATAGACTATGTGGTGTCATCTAAGATGACTGGTGAACTGAAAAGGATTTGGAAGGAAGCACTCACGGCCTAATCAAGATACTAACCCAGGATCTGCCTGGAAAGACTGAGGAAACAGATGAAACCTGTCAGGAGCTTTGAACTGAGCACCTTTTAAATATAAGTCTAGAGCGAAACGACTATGCCAAACAGTTTGGCGTAATAATACATACTTACATACAAGAGTGACTTCTCAGAGCTTCCGCAGTTCAACTTCCCAGCCAAACAGACTGTCATGTGTTGGGTGTACGTCACGTGACAAGTAACTTCACTCCGTTCTGGAGCTAACGAATTTATTGCACATTCGCTCCACACTTATACAATCTTAACCTTATACAATTCACTATCTCAACTGCTGTTCAACTGCATCTCAGTAAATCCATTCAACTGTCTCTGGCAGCTGCTAGACTGCAACTGACTTCTGCTGCACTCAGCAACTTCACGATCCACTGTGTCACTCCTAATCACACTGTCATCACATATTGCTCAGCCGGCGTTTTATACCATTCCGTTGCCTCATGTTACAGCGGTGTCCCCTTTTACGTCACATACACTGGCTCTCATGCATACAAAATTTGTATGTATGCTGTATCAGCTACATACATACTTCAATACTGAATGGCAAACTGTAATATAATTATGGTAATTTGGGGAGGAAGTAGAATATAGTGGCCATATTTTGTGGCATTATCTGAGCACTTTCCTGAACAGACGTGATTACATCAGGTATCTCAGAATATTCCCTCATTTGGTTACAACTTCTTAACCCATGTGCAAGTTTAGTATCCCAAGGAAAAACACTTCTTTTGTAACTGCAGCCCTCTCTCCTTTTTATACATTTATCTCCTACCCCTTTTTTAACTATTTTATTTGTATGTCCCATCATCATTCCATTCCCTTTCCCTTGCATTCCATTTCAAATTCTGGTAATTTTAACATAACATTATGGGATTACAAGAAGTAACATCAACTGTCATATACACTATATTATTTTGCTTTCGACGTAAGCACATGCTTTACTGTCATCTGACAAATCATGTCAGCCACTAAGTAACCACAAGCTCTGCAAGTGCATGCGAACATACATCAAAATTGGCATATCAAATAATCAGTATGTCACAAATCCAAATGCAGGCAACATCTCAGTCCAAGTTCTTGTGCTAATCTCACCCTTACAGATACATGTGTAATATCTAGGTCTAATAAGTTTCATATTAAGTACACTTACATCTCCACTATCTGCCTTTTTCTTCTTCTTCTTCTTTCTTCCCTTTTTGTCCTCACTCCTAGCTTTCCTCTTTTTTCCTTTTTTCCGTTTATTTCGTCCATCTTCAGGTTCGTAGTCATCATCATCATCCTAAAAAAACAAATTAACCTCAATTTCCATATACATAAACAGAAATGTCAGTAATAACTATAAATCAATAAATGTATGCATAAAACAAACAGTAACAAAATACTGTACACATTCCATTCTTTGATTAGTAGTACAAACATAAATGTCCATGCCTAAAGTGTACTTATGGAATTACCCACGCACACATAACCTAACATGAAAATATACAATTTAAGTTCTCAATTTCAGACATGGACCTATGGCATTTTAACTATGTATGATCAAAACTACTTACTCCTCCAGGCTGTCCCTCTTCTGATTCTGGAGAATTTTCTTCAGTTGTGCCATCAGGCCTAGACATTCTTGTTCCACCCTCATCTCCTAGGTCATCATCACCACCTAACATTATGCAGAGATACATACACATGGCATCATATTTGATCGCTTATACAGAAGTAAACACACTACACTGCCAACATTTAAGTAAAGTATTTTTCATTCATAATATTTTCGAAGGCCATGTGCTTTCTTATCAATGAACCTTAACCTATAAAACCAATAATACACAAACTGTGTGATGCAGCTATTACTAAATCTGTGACATTATGAAATACACAGTGAAAGAAATTAAAATTAACCTTTACGTCTACAGCAATACAACCAGCTAACGGCGGCTTAATTAGCACAATCAAGGCAAAGAAAACTGGTTTTCATCAGTTCCATGAAAGTACCTGTCTATGATAGCTAAAAGTATGGACTTACACAGAAGTGCAATTTTTTCGCGAAATTCTGGTGTCAATCTCTTTGTTTGATGGCCTCCATTTTGTTAAGGGGTCAGGATAAGCCCGCGCGGCTGTCAGAAAAATAATGACGTCCCCCCCCTTCCCCACCAATCTAGATTTTTATCCTTTCATCATGTATTTCATAGCATGTTTATTTAAAACGTTGATCAGACTATTCGTAACACGATCCTCAGCACTTCTGCCATGCACAGCCCTTATTTTACACTCAACATACTGACTTTTTATGTAAACTTGAACACATGATTTCGTAGTCCCGCTCCGGCGACCTATGACGACGATGCAATCTCCAAAAACACAAAAGCATGACAAATCTTACCTCCAAAAGATTCATCATCCACCTCATCTGATGCCATAGAGTGGATCTACTGATGTTGTCCTTATGTTAGAAGACTTCTGTAATAATAATCGGAAAATATAAAAACTTAATAATATTGTAAATTCATAATCTGTACTCAACCCACTCTTTGCTTGTGGTACCTTGAAGACCAACGTATCGACTGTTGTACGCATGCGCAGAAGCACCATATATATATATATATATATATACACACCAACATGACCGGGGTATTTTCAATGGCGGGATAACGAGGGCTTCAAAAAATGTGGAATAACTTAAGAAATCCGAATGAAAGGTGTTCTGCAAACTTCCCGTATGCAAATTAAAACATCCATACTTTAATAATATATTACATTAATATATGCATTTATATATAATTAACTTCAAATTAAATACTTCATATTTAAATTAAACTCACTTCCTGCTCTCACCCAACCCAATTTACACCCACCGCCGCGTAGCACTATTTTTCCTGGGCTAGGTCAAATATTGATTGATTCCAACGGGAAACGAATTGCTCGATATGCTTTATTGTTATTAAGAACCAGTAACTTTGTTAATGACCTGTATTATAAAAGCAAATAAGTAACACCTATAAAATGAATTTAATAGCACAAGTCAGTGTTCAAACGTAAGGTTAATAATTCTAAAATACTCCGCTTTGTGAATCACGTTAATGGAATGTTAACGAAATGCAAGGGTTTTCCCAACTCAGTTAATACCCAACAAAATTTGACGTTTTCTCGGCTTTGAAGATTAGTAAGAAATATGGTCTTCTGGGTTATGACATCGTGTAATTTAGTGGGATCTTACCAACGTTTCGGAGGTACCTTCTGTATCCATCTTCATGATATAAAACGAAATAAGCAGGTTCCATCGAAACATAGGTACCCATCTGCCAGATAGCATGATGTCATAACCCACAAGACAACAATTCTAATTAATACTCACTGCTCATATTGTATATCATACTGCTACTTCACTACTCTGTGTTCTAAATACTTATAGTTCACATTAAATTTATCGTCGCTCCTTTGGTAAGAAGTAACATATTCGAAACGACCCTTGTTTCCAGGTTTATATGCCAGTGTATGTCCCGATACTGTAGAATAAATATTTCTGTATTTGTATATTGTTTGATCGGAGGTCCTTACCGTGGTAGCAATTTTATTCCGTGATGTAACGCCGTGTGGTCCGGTAAAGGTCCACAGTTTCTGTACCCCTTATATAGTCTCTTACTACAGTTAATTTCTAATATCAAATTTTCCTTTTGCCGGTCGAAGTCAACTTTGTCTATCCAAGGCCTCTCGCGGACCACACAGAAAACAGCCTATATTGTTGGACGTGTTTACCGACCGATTGCCCAGCAACAGTCGCGGCACGTACTCCTCTGTTGCGTGACGTCACAGCCTAGCGGGGTGGGTTGTTTACCGAGCGTCGCGAAGTAATGGGATGAGTGGGGTTATGTGACGTCAGTCGCACTTCCTGTTGCGCTATCCAAGCATTCATAGAATTGTCGCCTAGCAACGTGCCGATACAATCCGCAACTCTCCCGTTGCGCGTGTGCCCCGAGGCTTCTGTGGCTCAACAGTTCCTGCATAGAGCAAATATGCCACATTATAATTTTTTTTCTTATCGCATAACGATTGGTATGATTGCACCAACTGAATCGTTATTGCTACCCGTTAACTTATTTTGTCTTCTGTGTATGTGCATTACATTACATTGCATTCCATGAATCCAAAGTTAGTCAAAATGACTGCAGGATGTGGAACATGTGCATTTGCTTTGCTCATGATTACTTATAATTGACCTTAGGGCTGTTGAGTAAACAAGTAAGCAAATAAATAATTAAATTATTGCTATATATCTCAGGCAGCGTTACGACTCGGATATTGGTTGGAAGACCAGGTTTCGATTTCCGACAGGAGTGAATGTTCTATTGTTTACCACCTCGTTCAGACTCACCCTCTTATACCATGGGTGCCGGGGTCCCTTTCCCAAGTCATGTAGGAGGCGGGGAGTGAAGCCGTACCCTCACCCCCCTCTAGAGACAGGATTAAGAATGTGTGGAGCTTTATATCCACTCCCTCTTGCATTTTCATGAGGTGGTCCTTTACTAAGCACTGAGCCAAATTTTCGTACATTGTAAACTTCAGCTGTATATTCGGTATATTGTTAGGCACAGACCTATATACACATTTGTATCAAGTATCCAGGTAGCTTGAAGTCGGCCGATTGAGGCCACATATTTATGGACCAGTGGTATCATATTATCAGTCAGCAGTCTCATAATTTGCTCTCCCAGTGCGTAGGCACAGTACCAAGTGCTGATATAACTGTTGATCTGACGTGTGTTCACCATTCCTGATTAAGTTCTTCTACAAGGGTTGGAACCTTAATAGTGGAAACACTGCTGTTGAGACGCCATGCAACAGAACCAAATAATGTCGCACCACACGTAAGTTACATACCTACCTTACCTCAGTGCAAATGGACTCTCCTTTCCCACATCGCGCGCATGCGCAGTGACGAGAAGAACAGAGCCTCGTGTTAGCTGGCGGTCTAATGTAGTGTTGTCACGATGTTTTAGAAACAGGAACAACGGAGTTGGATAAAGATTTAATGTGCCAGAGGCCGTACAGCACGACAGTGTCATCAAGGTCTTCAAGAGGCTTGCGGGGAATCTGCATTGCATTGCAGAACAGTGGCAAGGTGGGTAAAAGCCTTCAACGAGGGATGCCAAAATGTAGCAGACATGCGTCGGCCAGGTCGTCCTAGTATCAGTGAAGCAGTGTATGCTCTTTCCGCGTTACTGGCGAGTGATCGACGCCATATGATTCGTGAGCTGGCCCGAGAGACAGGATTAGCGCATACAACTGTGCTTCACATTCCCAAGGAACGCCTGGGCATGAGAAAAACTGCATCACGATGGGTTTCGCATGATTTAATGGAAATGCAGAAATGGCTACTATACGACGCTGTTCGTAACCACTTGGAGCGCTATGAGCGCGAAGGAGAGGTTTTCTTATGCCGTATCATTACACTGGATGAGACATGGGCCAAATCCCACGAGCCACAAATGAAACGCCAATCGAACGAATGACGTCAATACGGGTCACCACGAAATACAGAAGTTCGTCAGAACCCCAGCAATGTGAAAGTTATGGTGATTCTCGTGTACGACTGTGATAGTGTTATCCTAACGCATACCGTTCCCCGACAGCAGACCGTCAATGCGCAGTATTACTGTTCATTTTTGGAACACAACCTGCTACCAACTTTGAGAAAGAAGTGGTGACAATTTCTGCAGAAACCCACCCATCATTTTGCAGGACAATTTTCGGCCGCATGCAGCGCAAACTGTGGCTGTTTTGTTCGACCGGTGGGGCTGGGAAGTGCTGTACCATCCACCATACTCCCTGTACTTAAGCCCCTGTGACTTCAATTTGATTCCTAAGATGAAGGAACCGCTTCGTGGCATTCGCTTCAGAATTGTTCCAAAGATTCTTCAGGCAGTAGACTGCTCCATTCAAACTATCAACACAACAGGCGCTGCTAAAGGTATCCTACGACTTCAACACCGCTGACAACGGGTTGTACACAATGCTGGTGACTCCACTGAAGGACAGTAAAACTTCGAAACATGCATCTACACGTATTTTGTATCGTTTGTAAATAAATAGTTGCCACTATTAAAGTTCCAACCCTTGTATAATCTTAGATTCAAAATTCTTTTAGTGTCTATTGACCAACGATTGTTGTTTAGTGGAACAGGTACATCAGGAAGCATTCTACAAATTTCTCGATTTTGTAGGCATTAATATATTCGATTTTCTAATCATATTTGTTTAATCCGCGATGAGCGATCAATCCCAATATATCTAGAAATAATAATTTTCTGACAATTATCCTTTTTTTTGTTTCCCCCACCCCCTGGTAGATGGTCCCAAGTGCAATCATTGATGACCAGGGGAGCCAGCTTGGCTGTCGTCAGTTACAAGACAACCGACCAACTTTTGTAAAGACTTGAGTATATGAAAACTAAAGAAACCGTAAATGTAGCTAACATAAATATTGATTTATACTGACAAACTATGAAAGGGCACATATATTTAAATACCTAGGCTCAATAATTACGTCTCAAAGCACTGAACCGGAAGGCAGATGTGGAGTTGGAGGACCCAAGTTGAGATGATTAGAAGGCGTAGACCCTGATATAAGAATTCTAGGTATAAAAATTTGGAGAATGAAAGCTCAATACAGAAAAGAATGGAATCTCAGCCGCAGATGACCCAGAATCATAATTTGTAAGGTTTTCCTTTGACACGCCAGACAAATGTCAGATTATAACCCCAAATCAGGCCACAATAGCTTTCTTCTGCATCCATTCTAACTGATGATTCACTAATCACCCTACCAGTTGATGCTGTACCTTCCGAGTTACTTACAGCGCCGCTTAATAAAATTACGAATCAAAATGTGAGTTTTGAGGTTCTTATGTCGTTGCCTGTGAAGATTACTGTCTTCTGAGATATGACCCTGTATAGTATGGTAGACGTTTACCGACGTTTCAGAGGTACATGCTACCTCCATCTTCAGGTTAGAAAAGTACCAGAACTTATAATGCCACAACTCTGTAGTCAGTAATATTATTAAATAAAAAATAAATATAAATATAATGATTGTGTTCTGGAATGTGAAGCAATGTATTCTGGCAAATATTACTACCTCCATCTTCAGGGTAGAAGAGTAACTGTGGTTTCATACTGGTGTGAGTATTAAGATATATGTTCTTCTGGGTTATGATGTGATGTCTGGGAACAGGTACTAGAGCCTTGAAGGAATATACTGCCTTCATTGTTATTCAAATGCTCATCATTGAAAAATAAACTAAAATATTCCTTGGGCTCTGCATCTGTCAGAAGGTTAAATTGTGGCCCTGCATTTTTAGTAAATGTGTATGTGGTTCTTGTCACTCATTGTCACGTCTTTACACCCATCAACATCCACAGCACTTGTTTCACTCTCACTTTCTGAGATTTCGTTGCTCAATTTTTCACTCACAGGTTCTGCTTCAATTTCCAAGTCCATCTCATCAGAAGAGTCAATAGTGAGTTCACTATCACTATTAGATTCTTCATCCATATC